TTTCCCCAGTGTGAACTCTTTCATGAATCCTTAAGTTTCCTGCTACACTAAAACACTTGCCACACTGTTTACAGTCGAAAGGCTTTTCCCCAGTGTGAACTCTTCCATGAATCCTTAGGCTTCCTGCTGTACTAAAACACTTGCCACACTGTTTACATTCATAGGGCTTTTCCCCAGTGTGAACTCTTTCATGAATGCTTAGGCCTCCGGATCGGCTAAAACACTTGCCACACTGTTTACATTCATAAGGCTTTTCCCCAGTGTGAACTCTTTCATGAATGCTTAGGCCTCCGGATCGGCTAAAACACTTGCCACACTGTTTACATTCATAAGGCTTTTCCCCAGTGTGAACTCTTTCATGACGCCTTAGGGTTCCTGCTTCACTAAAACACTTGCCACACTGTTCACATTCATAAGGCTTTTCCCCAGTGTGAACTCTTTTATGACTCCTTAGGGTTCCTGCTTGGCTAAAACACTTGTCACACTGTTTACATTCAAAAGGCTTTTCCCCAGTGTGAACTCTTCCATGAACCCTTAGGTCTGCTGCTTGGCTAAAACATTTGCCACAATGTTTACAGTCATAAGGCTTTTCCCCAGTGTGAACTCTTACATGAATCCTTAGTTTTCTTGGTTCGCTAAACCACTTGCCACACTGTTTACATTCGTAAGGCTTTTCCCCAGTATGAACTTTTTCATGACGCGTTAGGTGTCTTGCTTGGTTAAAACACTTGCCACAGTATTTACATTCAAAAGGCTTTTCCCCAGTGTGAACTCTTTCATGATTCGTTAGGTTTCCTGCGACACTAAAACACTTGCCACACTGTTTACATTTATAAGGCTTTTCCCCAGTGTGAACTCTTTTATGAGTCCCCAGGTCTCCTGATCGGCGAAAACGCTTTCCACACTGTTTACATTCATAAGGCTTTTCCCCAGTGTGAAATCTCTCATGATGCATTAGGTTTCCTGATTGGCTAAAACACTTGTCACACTGTTTGCACTTCAAAGACATGGATTTGCCTCTTCCTTTACACCCTTTCAACATAAAAGAGAGACACTATGGTTTTATCTTTCTAAAACAACATAATCCAGCTGCATTAAAGACGCACGGCCATGAGGTAACGACAAGACTAAAAATGTATTAATTTTGTACGTACAATGTAGAGATTATTTTCAAAAGATATTCCAAAAAGTCATTGTTTTAATAGGGCTGACCAAAACAGCTGACAGATTATAACAGTTGACTTTTAAAAAGATGTCTGTCATATACGATCTGTATAAGTCAAAAAGTGGATTGTTACAATCATGCAAAATGTTACGTGCAAAGTTTCATCAGTTCCAAGCGCTATTCGATGTCAAACATAAATACAAATTGTTTATTTGCCTCATTGTAGCTTGGTAAGGTAATAACTTTATATAATTACGTTAATCAGTTCAGTTTAAGCTTTTCCCCTTGATTTTTCCTGTAGACGACAAACTCTGGTAAGGGAGCACTCTTGTCATGCACCAAGGGTGGTCGCGTACGAGAGAGTTGACTAAAGTGGTTCCTAAAGGAAGGTTAAGTGCTAGCAAACAGATGTCTATTATGATAAGTAACTAGGGAATTTATTCGGAGACAGAATTTATTCGAATAATGTATGTATTACAATGCAAGTTTGATAATGTCACAACTTATGGTCACAACGTGAACGGAGAAAATATATATATCTGGTTTCCTTCAACACACAAGCAATTAGTATCAGAAGGAGATACTTAAGTTTTTATGACTACACTGTATAACATAAATTTTAATTCTACTGTAATTTGAAGTCAATTTTTAACTGTTTCTGTATTTGTTTCTCTTTAAAAATGTAATTGTTCGACGGACAAGTCATGTCAAAGATTTATATGTCCGAACTAAATTTCATAGGTTTTGGCACACCCTGAACTTTTGAAGGGAAGGTTGGTGTTTAGGCCCAGGTAACCCAGGCTCACTGTTACCGTCACGTACGGATTTCATAACATGGTTAAATATAGAGAACATATATGGGGCGAAGTTTAGGTCTGGAAATTTGCCAGGAAAGGGAAATAAAAATCAATGAAACTTACCACCAATAACAAGGTTTAAATTTTACTAAGACACTGGAGTAAATGATCTACAGTCGATTCCCGATTACTCGAACCTTCCAGGGAAATCGAAAAAGTTCGATATGGCGGGAATTTGAGTTATTGGGAAGTCGAAGCAGGTAACCGAAAATAAGGAAATGGGATGGAGAATGAATGCAAGTAATTAAAAATGCACACCTCAAAACTTCATTTTGATAGATACACAGTGCTAGGCTCACTGTTAGTGTCACGTACGGATTTCATAACATGGTTAAATATAGAGAACATATGGGGCGAAGTTTAGGTCTGGAAATTTGCTAGAAAAGGAAAATAAAAATCAATGAAACTTACCATGTGGCGAACTGTTTACATTCATAAGGCTTTTCCCCAGTGTGAACTCTTTCATGAATGCTTAGGCCTCCGGATCGGCTAAAACACTTGCCACACTGTTTACATTCATAAGGCTTTTCCCCAGTGTGAACTCTTTCATGACGCCTTAGGGTTCCTGCTTCACTAAAACACTTGCCACACTGTTCACATTCATAAGGCTTTTCCCCAGTGTGAACTCTTTTATGACTCCTTAGGGTTCCTGCTTGGCTAAAACACTTGTCACACTGTTTACATTCAAAAGGCTTTTCCCCAGTGTGAACTCTTCCATGAACCCTTAGGTCTGCTGCTTGGCTAAAACATTTGCCACAATGTTTACAGTCATAAGGCTTTTCCCCAGTGTGAACTCTTACATGAATCCTTAGTTTTCTTGGTTCGCTAAACCACTTGCCACACTGTTTACATTCGTAAGGCTTTTCCCCAGTATGAACTTTTTCATGACGCGTTAGGTGTCTTGCTTGGTTAAAACACTTGCCACAGTATTTACATTCAAAAGGCTTTTCCCCAGTGTGAACTCTTTCATGATTCGTTAGGTTTCCTGCGACACTAAAACACTTGCCACACTGTTTACATTTATAAGGCTTTTCCCCAGTGTGAACTCTTTTATGAGTCCCCAGGTCTCCTGATCGGCGAAAACGCTTTCCACACTGTTTACATTCATAAGGCTTTTCCCCAGTGTGAAATCTCTCATGATGCATTAGGTTTCCTGATTGGCTAAAACACTTGTCACACTGTTTGCACTTCAAAGACATGGATTTGCCTCTTCCTTTACACCCTTTCAACATAAAAGAGAGACACTATGGTTTTATCTTTCTAAAACAACATAATCCAGCTGCATTAAAGACGCACGGCCATGAGGTAACGACAAGACTAAAAATGTATTAATTTTGTACGTACAATGTAGAGATTATTTTCAAAAGATATTCCAAAAAGTCATTGTTTTAATAGGGCTGACCAAAACAGCTGACAGATTATAACAGTTGACTTTTAAAAAGATGTCTGTCATATACGATCTGTATAAGTCAAAAAGTGGATTGTTACAATCATGCAAAATGTTACGTGCAAAGTTTCATCAGTTCCAAGCGCTATTCGATGTCAAACATAAATACAAATTGTTTATTTGCCTCATTGTAGCTTGGTAAGGTAATAACTTTATATAATTACGTTAATCAGTTCAGTTTAAGCTTTTCCCCTTGATTTTTCCTGTAGACGACAAACTCTGGTAAGGGAGCACTCTTGTCATGCACCAAGGGTGGTCGCGTACGAGAGAGTTGACTAAAGTGGTTCCTAAAGGAAGGTTAAGTGCTAGCAAACAGATGTCTATTATGATAAGTAACTAGGGAATTTATTCGGAGACAGAATTTATTCGAATAATGTATGTATTACAATGCAAGTTTGATAATGTCACAACTTATGGTCACAACGTGAACGGAGAAAATATATATATCTGGTTTCCTTCAACACACAAGCAATTAGTATCAGAAGGAGATACTTAAGTTTTTATGACTACACTGTATAACATAAATTTTAATTCTACTGTAATTTGAAGTCAATTTTTAACTGTTTCTGTATTTGTTTCTCTTTAAAAATGTAATTGTTCGACGGACAAGTCATGTCAAAGATTTATATGTCCGAACTAAATTTCATAGGTTTTGGCACACCCTGAACTTTTGAAGGGAAGGTTGGTGTTTAGGCCCAGGTAACCCAGGCTCACTGTTACCGTCACGTACGGATTTCATAACATGGTTAAATATAGAGAACATATATGGGGCGAAGTTTAGGTCTGGAAATTTGCCAGGAAAGGGAAATAAAAATCAATGAAACTTACCACCAATAACAAGGTTTAAATTTTACTAAGACACTGGAGTAAATGATCTACAGTCGATTCCCGATTACTCGAACCTTCCAGGGAAATCGAAAAAGTTCGATATGGCGGGAATTTGAGTTATTGGGAAGTCGAAGCAGGTAACCGAAAATAAGGAAATGGGATGGAGAATGAATGCAAGTAATTAAAAATGCACACCTCAAAACTTCATTTTGATAGATACACAGTGCTAGGCTCACTGTTAGTGTCACGTACGGATTTCATAACATGGTTAAATATAGAGAACATATGGGGCGAAGTTTAGGTCTGGAAATTTGCTAGAAAAGGAAAATAAAAATCAATGAAACTTACCATGTGGCGAGTTGTTGTTGTCCTTAATGTGTACACGAAGCTTTGGGAAAAATAGTCTGCTTCACCTTTCCTTCATAGTATAGTGACAGTTACTATACTACATTATGAAATCGGTACGTGACACTAACAGTGAGCCTGGGTTACCTGTGGTATAGGGAGCCATCGTTTATTACATCCCAATAGGTATGAATCACTATGAATACGTTTAAAAGGATATGGACTGCGGGAGGGTACTCCTGGGATTTCTTGGTGGGGGTGTGCTGCCTGGTTCTTCAAATCCTGGCCCAATTTTAGACCAAAAAATGTAATTTTCCATCGCCCTTTTCAGACTAGATCTCTAAAATCCATACCCATTTTCAGACCTGGCCTTTAGGCAGAAATTATGTTATGATTGCTTAGATTAGAATGCAAACAAAAAAATTATTCCACTCCAATTGGAATTAGCATATTTCTCTTTCTTTCTTACTCATTTGGATTTGAAATGATGAATACGTTCATACACTCTGTGGTTTGAGCGTAGTTCCCTTGAAAACCATACCTGATTCCAGAGCAAAATGGGCAAATTGCAGACCCGTTTTAAGACCAAAACCGCACAAAAACCCTACCCGATGGGTTGGCACATATGGCTTATGTAAGGGAATACCCCCAGGGTATGGACCTTACCATTTAACTTTGTCTTTTCTTGATGAATATTCATCGTTTCGCGCCATTTTGTCAGCGTGTACAAAACATACATGTATCTAGATGTGACAAACCAGTAACGATAACCTTATTTAGCATTTGTCTTCTCAATATTGTTTTGAGCTCCATATCTTGTCAACATGATGATCAAACATGACAAATATGCCTTAGAACTGTGGATTTCTACATAACTGCTGCCTGATCAATTTTACAAGGAGAAATTAAGATTCAAAAAGTGTATTCCATCGGACTGTGAATCTGTGTACCATGAGATTTTTGTGCCTCATTGTGAGACCGTGAGATTGTCCTTGAAACGGTGAGTCTCACGGTAAGGTGAGAGGTGTGCAGAGGATAATAATGACCATTTTTGTATCACAATTGCAGGACGATTAGGTTGGTTAAGTTAATATTGAATTCTACAGCAATGCGGGTTTTCAGTGTTTACATGGAGGTACAGGTATTGCTGCAGTATTTGAACACTTTCTTCGTCCCCTCTGCGCTGATTTTGACCACAGTTTAATTTTGTCCCACACCACTGTGGATTTGTAAACACACTAAGGGATACTTTATTAACTTTGAACTATTTTAGAGTCCCAAAGGTTGGGAATTTGACCAAAAATATTGCTGATTCAAATGCCGCACGTTACGCCCGTCCCCCTTGCTCCCCTCTTCAAACATTGATATCTGCATCAACAAAAGCGATTGGCACTATCGACTGCAAACTTGAACAACAATCAAGGTCACAAATGATTCCTCTGCGCCCTGTATCTAAACGAACAAGCTACAATCGCCCGCAACGTTCATTAACGTCTTCTAAAATATTGTGTTTTCTACACTGTCCATCAATCCTGTCACTGTGTTCATTCTACGATGATATATCATGTACTGAAGAGCTTTACTTACCTTTTTTAATGAAGTTTCAGCGCTTGTGATCAACGCACAACATCTACTGAATAGCGTTTGTACATCAATATCCCCATACATGAAGTAGTTACCTAAAAAGGCGTACTCAGTCCCCCTGGCCGTAAACATAGGCACGTCAACGTGCATGAACTTTTCGGAAAATTGCTTCATCCCAGAAGGAAGGAAAAGCGTCTTGAGAACAGTAGCCGATTAGTAGAAGGCTCCTGGGTTTGTGAGATATCTCCTTAACGTAAACGTAATTTGTAGTCCTTTAGTGTACATTTGAGCCCGGCTTTATGAATGGACACCTGCTTACCGTAATGATTCGATTTAGCGCCTGGGGCTCTCAGGGCTGTCAACCCCCGACATCTTCAAATATTTAGAATTGACAAGGAAGGGATAATAGATGACGTAATAATGCACGAAACATGACGTCATTGGTGGAAAAAACACGCGAAAAAGATGTTGTTGGAATTGTAACACTTGCACCTGATTGGTTTACTTCTCACCCATCACATATTGCTTATATTACAATGGCATGCCGGAGTTTCTGAGGAAATGTTCAATGTTAAAAGTTAAAACAACGCAAAATATTTGAAATTTCATTGACAGAAAGTCGAATCTACAAGAAATAGCAAACTTCGGCAACTATCCGGGAGATTTCAGACTCTAATCTGGAGACCGGGAGAAACAGTTCCAAATCTGGAGTCTCCCGGATTATCCGGGAGAGTTGACAGCACTGGGCTCTTTTTTATTTCTGGTACCTTAGAGAGGAACGCTTACTCGGGACGGGGCGCATATTTCTTATTTGAGAAACAACCGAATGTTCAAAACAAAACTTCAATAATACTTTAAAAGGGGACAAAAACAGAAACTGTAACAGTAAAATGAACCTCCGTCTATACGTACCGGTACTCTAATTTAGAACAGGGGCGCTCAATGGGATAGGAGCGCTTATTAACAAAAACATCTTTGAAAGGGGCCGCTTATTCGAAAGGGGGCACTTATTGAAAGGAGGGCACTAAATCGAATCATTACGCTATTACAGCCACCTCGTTCTTACAGATGTTCCTTTTTTCCTAAGGAATAATACTCTTTCGCTAAACCAGGGTCAAAATCCCCATTGTTTTCCCAGCCAGGAGCCGATTACGAACAATCTTTTAAATAGTTGCAGATCGCCCCAGTTTTCTCGGATGGATAGATGTTATTAGGTGTGCGGCTACACTCGCGCGGGCAGATCCGCTATTATTAGTTCGGACACTTTTGCCGTAGTAAATGACCCATTCACCGCGGGAATTTGTGTTAGTGTGTGTGACCAGACTTTCCCGAGGAAAATTTCGCGTGTTAAATATCCATGGATACGTAAACAAGAACAAAGAAAGCGCCCATGATATTTGACGTGTTAATTAGCAAGGGTTTTTCTACTCACGGTAATACAGCCAATCATAAAGCTCGAATGGCTTTGCAGCTGAGTGGTTGTGGTTTCTTGGGTGTAGCTTAAATTTCAGACGATTACTTCGAGTCTTTTTTACTCCCCTTAACCGTCTGAAATTCAGGCTACCTTGGGCGTAGAGTAGAATTTTTTGGATTTTACTCTCTAATATCTAAGCTATTTTTGGTACAAATTTCAAAAAAAACAAATTTCAACGATTGGCGGAGTTGATCGGCATCGCACAGCCTTTGGATAGTAAACAGGTTTGTCAGGAAAAATTAATCCGTGAATTTAGTTTCTAGTTTTCTGCGAAACTTAAATTACTCAATGTACATGAATTATTAGCCTCCCCCGCAGGCGTTTTTAGGAGAGATCGTATTTCTTCCCTCCCCCTAAAAACGCCTGCGGGGAAGGCTAATGAATTATGCGAAACCCAAGAGAAGATGATGCCCGAAAAGTCTCAATGTTTTTAAGTGAAAGGTTTTTCTCAAAGGAGTGTATGGAACCCTTAGTCAACCATCTTCTTAACTTTAAAATTGTTGCCCTTGAGTGTATAGTCAAACATGGCTTTATGAACACCCGCTCTAATATCTTACAAACCTCATCTTTTTCGGAAGGAAGAGTTCTTTCAGTTTCTCTAAATGTAACCCGGTAAAATGAACACTCTTAATGCAATAAGGAAGAGAGAGATTTACTTAGAAGGATAACCTTTCTACAAAACGGACACGTCCGTTTTAATGGACCCTTCTACGGTTTTTTAACTTTTGCCCTGTACCACTTTGGGAAAATCTGTCGACACCACTGGAAAAAGCGCCTTAAAATTTGAGGGTGATGCACATTAAGAGGCGCTGCCTGTAGGGATCGAGCAAAGTTGGAAATCAGGCCAAATATCACAACTTTTGAAACTTTGTCAGAATAAAGCTTTTGACAGGCCTGATTGAATGACAATACGTTATCTTAAAAACCTAAAATTCTTATTTTGGGATTTGTTCATTTTGAGCGGACATTAATGGGGGTTAAAACAGAAAAAACGCTAAATTTGAAAAATCCAAAAATTATGTAGCCATTCAGTGAAACTTAATCCAGATCTTTACACGAATCTAAAGATATAAAAAATATATGTTTCATTGGGACCAGTAATGTTTTTGCCCAGGAAATGTATGTTTAAAGATGGCTCCTTTTTCCTTACACTTGTTCAATCAGGGACTCTGCTATAGATCCCGCGAAATATCTCTAGAAGTAGATGGACTTGGGAAAATTGGTTTATGCTGTTTGGAATAAAAATTTCCGCTAGCAGTCATATTGTGTTGGCAGGAGAACGACTCCATAATGCCGAAACTTCGAGTCTTCATGAGACGCCATTCTTGATGACATGGACAGCACTGGTTACGAGTTTTATAATATCCAGCTACGGCAAAAAGACACTACAAAATAACAAAACCTGCTATTTTTAATATTTTCCGGGAGTATACTTGATTTATGACTGGTTTTGGTCATTTTAAACGCAACGAGCCATGGAAGGACGATTTTGCATTACTGATGAAGTTGTCTTTTTTTAAACTTTTCAGCAAGTTTCTCAAAGAAGAACTCTGTCTTTGCTAACAAATGCTCTTTCATTTAATTTGTAGGTAAATACCAAATAATTTTTCTTTCAAATTACATGCCATCGGACAGTATAAGTTTTTGTTCTGGAGAGGGGCGGGGGGAGGAATAACTGGTGACTTAAATTAAATGCGGCAAAAAAATCTTGATCCACGAGAAAAGCATAACAAATTTGGTTCCATAATAGGACCTTGTGGTCCTATGTTATAACCTAGAACCAACCCCTCCTACCCTCAGTCCGTAAGTCGAGGGAGTCACATTTGATAGATGAGGCCATGACTCTTGAACCTAATGGCCTAAATTGGCGTGATGAATTATTGTAACCTATATCCCAGGATATATCCTTATTAGTTTTTTTGTTTTTTATGTTGTACGTCATTTCCGCCTCTCCCTTTTAAACAATATTTATTGCGACATCCTCCATCTATGTGAGGGCTCGACACTTACCCGATATCCACAGGAAAGGAAAAAATGCACGTGGAAAAGAAAAAATACAGGAAGTCTGTAACTGCTTTCCCGATCTGATAACAACGTTCTAGGCACTGTGGATAATACTCTTTATCTCCAGCGAAAAAAGGCTGTGGAAATTTGAGTCTCCAAAATTAATCTTACTAAAGTTTGCCACGAAAAAAAAAACAGATCGTAACATCGTTTCACTTCGCTGGCAATGGCAGCCATTTTGGACCTCTGACTGAAAAAAGGTGGCCTGGGTAGAGAACGGCCGGGCGGACCTCACGTGGAGCTCATACGCGACGATCCGCCATTTTAATTTTTGCATTTGCAATTTGGTCGGGGAGCTTCAAAAATTAGTCATGAGTCTTTGAGATTTGGGTTCAGGCGTCTAGAAAAGGATGAGGATGGAAGAAAGGACGTTGAGGAGAGGAATCTTGGAAGTCAGTCGGTCAAGGAGAAAAATCAAACAGCTAAAGAAACAGCCAAAAAGAAATACGAAGAAAAACGAAAGACGGTTTGCCTTGGTTTTAGAAAAGAGTGTCTAAGCGAGTTCAGTTGGTTGGAATACAGTGAAGAGGAGGGGCAGATAAGCTGTGCAATTTGTAACCAGTTTCCCAATATATGAGATAACAGTAGCTCGTTCTTCCTCGGTAATATCAGTTTTCACATGAGTAATATAAAGGGATACGATCATAGCCGTCGACATCTAAGTTGTATTGAAGCGAAAACTCTTACTTATACTCTGTTCCTTCTATGTAACGATTTTTGGTGGCAAACACATTTTGAGTTCTAAAGCTTTTTGGAATGTAAATTTGTGGTTTGGAAGTAAAATACGAGAATCACCTTCCATGATGGAAAGTGAAGTGAAAAAATAGTGTCGAGCTCTGAATTAAATATATTGTAATTCCCATCATAAATTCAGTAAACCTGAAGAAGGCTGGTATGGCCAGCCGAAATATTGTTGAATAAAAACAATACACGTCACGGTTTTGCAGTAACTATAGTTACTAGAATTACTGCTTCCAGGATCATACAGGAGCGCCTTTTCAAAAATTCAATAATAGCAACAGAATAGGCATTCTTCTTCCGACTTTTAACTTTAATGGAAAAAGTGACTAACTATGGAACCCATCTGAGAGATCTTGAGGATTTCGATCTCTGACTCTGTCATCAAGCACAGGTTTTTGCCAGAGAAAAGCAAGGGATGATTTCCTGCCGTAAAAATTCCATCACATCCGAGTGGACAGCCGCTTGCTGCCTCGCAAATTCTTCAGCCTCATCATCGGAGTCGGTGGCATCTCTTCTCTTACATGCCATCCTAGAGGAGAATGAGGTGATTTGTTGTGGACGTAGGAACTCCTTTAACGTGAAGATTCGCATCCCGCTCTGATCTCTCAAACATCTCATCTCCTCCGAGACGTCATCTGGGCTTGCTTTAATCCCCGTGGTCTCTCCATGTTTAAACTTTTCCTTCATGTACCTACTTTGTTTGGAATTAAGCTGATGGCGTGGCATGGCCGACTCCCGACAAGCTCATCCCTCTGGCAGACAAGGGGAACCACTGTGTATTTCCGTATCCGGTATCGTCACTTCAGGATGGCTCCCCCCAGGCTCAAGACACTCTGCGGAACTGAGCTTTGCTCGGTCAATAAGTGAAACACTCTCGGCCCGACGGAATTGGTGTTTACCATACATGAGGTGCTGCTCCAGCCGTCCGTATGTCATAAAGGACTTGGTGCATCCGTCATCTGGGCATGGAAACAGGTGACTATCAGCCAGATTGGCATTTGCTTGTTGGGTCATTTCAGTGGTAGAACCCTCCTTGAGTAAGCTATTTGTATGGGATGTCGCCGGCTTTGGCTGTCTGGGTTTCACAGACACAAATTCTCCTTTCACTGGCCTTTCAGCAATCCATTTAACTTGGTTATCGTGTGGTATTCCTGAGAGAAGAGACCAAAATAAGCAAGTAATGGTGGCTTTAACACTCGCTGCCGTGATCTCGAAGTTGGACAAACTACTGATGCCTTTCCACTTGCTACTCTTTGTTTTCACTGGTGTTTTAAGCTAGCAAGAAAAATCCTTGTTACTTTCGCGATTTTTGCGATATTTGCGGACATTTCGGGGCCCTTCTTGGCTTCTTTGCTTTCTAAGTCTGGAATTTTGTTAGATTTGTTATTTTTGCGATTTTTGCGATATTTGTCATGGGTGTTTTTAGCTAGCAAGAAAAATCCTTGTTATATTTGCGATTTTTGCGATATTTGCGGACATTTCGGGGTTCTTCTTGACTCCTTTTTTTCCAAGTCTTGATTCTTGTTAGATTTGTTATTCTTGCGATTTTTGCGATATTTGTTAGTGATTTTCTGACATAATTTTTTCTCAATTATTTCTTTTGCGACAATTGCGAAAAATATTTGCTAGAAAATTTTTGCTAACAAGATCGATCCTGGACATATCTCGCAGTTTGGACAGTGAAAACCCCAAGGTAAACGCATTTCATCGCACTTACATGTAAAGAATGGAAGACCAACAGTCTAAGCCGTAGACTTGCTACAAGTCGACGTGTTTTTTAACCGCGATTTTCGCTCATATGTTTAGGCTTATGATCCAAAATCGCTTCCATTTGTTCTTAAAAGTACTTTAGCATTCGAAATTCACTGAGTGATGTTCTCTCTGCTCCGCTGTTTGTTGCTGCCGTCTCCTTCTTTGTTGCTTGCGTTGAATTTCAAGTCGGCGTTCTCGCTCATGAGGAATTTTTCGGTGTCAAATCTTCCCCTGCGAGGATTGACAATTCGGCGTTCTTGAGTTTGCTGTTCTGTTTGCATAAGAAATCGCTTGAGATTCACCAATAGGAAACATTGTTCCGCACACGATGAATAAACAAGTCAGCTCTTCAGGAATACTTTGGTCATTGATGGGAAATCGCTTCCAGTTGAATGTTGCCCAGAAACAAAAAATGCCCCGTGACGTCAAACTACTGTATGACGTCATAGCGTACACCATCAGAAATGTAAAAGTAAAGATCAGCGCGGATCCATGCGCGGTCCACGCACTGCGCGCGCGACGAGATTATAAACTCACTTCGCGAGGAATAACTATTCTTTCACAAAATTGGCCAGGGCGATGCGCTTTATCGTTTTTTTCTGCCCTGTCCCTTGACTTGCCCACGCCTAACCCAACGACTGGGTACGAGTCTGCCCCATTAATGGCTCATCGTCACAGGATACCCAGGTACACAATAGTTGCTTGCGACTTTGTAGGTGTTGTGGAGAGAATGAAAAAGAAGAAGAAGGGTCAGTCGGCTTTACAGCCGTAAGGAATCCACTATAGTCATTACGTTCACTGTTTTTCCTCACCTCTTGCGAATTCTTTTGATATGTTGCAAGGCTTGTGGTCAGCTTTCCACGACACTGCCGGCAGATTGCTTAAGAAAGATAACATTCGAGAAAGCCTTTGTGAGTGAATACAGTGGTTAGTGTAACATTTCTAATAATACTGTTGAATACCTGAGCCGATGGGTATAAGTGATCCAGTCCTTTTGAAGATTTCCTCTGACAGGTTCCTACTGATAGTGCGATCACCCGTGTGATTTTTTGAGCGGTAAGATGTGACCCCCTCTGGGACCTGGCAAATCTTCTTACGCCCTCTCCATTTTATACCAAAGGTATCTCGATGCTTTTGACAGACCATGAAATCTACTTCAGGCGTTCCCGAAAATACTCAGCCATATACAAAGTTAAGTCAACCGTGAACATCCCTTCAATACGCCCCTCAATGACAGATGTAAAGGGGTATGAAAATGTTCTTACCTGCTCTCAATAAAATCAACTCTTTCTCAGACAACACGTCCTCTTCACGCATTTTCAGCATTTCCAAGTGGCCCGTAATATCGCGCTGACAATCACCTAACACTTGATATTCGTCAACTACTGTATCTTTCACAGTAACTGAACCGCACTATGTCCCAAATAGCTTTCCAATCCCGCATTTATTCATTTTTTCTACTTTTACGAACAAAGATGTCTGCCATTCACTTGTTTTAAGTTATCGTCGGAGTGGGAGTGTTTGTAGGCGCCTTAAACTTTCTAGCAGTCTGGTGATCTCTTCGCAGATGATTGGCAGGTGGACATGAGAGTGTTTTTGCAGTCAATAAATATAATGGCTTGAATTTTGTACTGTCCTCCAAGAAAACAAGGGTTTCGAGAGAACATGATATTATGAAAAAGTGTCCCGTCAACTGTTTCCCGGGAAAGTTACGAACAAGTAGAATCTAAAGATTGTTTGTTGCGCCTATAACTAATCAAGCGTGACAAATGCTTATTGAATTACAGCATTAAACTTTGCGGGTACTTTCCTAGGCATGCAAAGTGAGGCGACCTTAAAAATCTGTCGAAAAACTGAAATCCGAATTCGAAGATTTCCCTCTAGATTAAGATGAAGCTAACATACAGAAATGAAATGATGTGCCAAGTGTATAATTTCTTCAATGTACTACGACATGCCAACATCTTTTTTCCATATAGTATACCTGCCAACTCTCACGCCTTAGGCGTGAGTCTCACGCCTGCGGGTTGAAAACTTCGATCTCACGCCGGCTCACGCTTGCGGGCCAATTTCTCACGCCTGATTGAAAAATGTGAGTTGTTGCCGACCTGATGGGAATTTTGTCATCCATATTTGCTTCTAATGGCCGTCTTTACTTCGTCACCCATCTGGCAATTTACATTCTGAGAAGTTAACCTGCGATCAGATGGTCCTTCTTCCCTTTTTGTTTGGAAGATTATATACCTGCCAACTCTCACGCCGGCGGGTTGAAAACTTCGCTCTCACGCCGGCTCACCCTTGCGGGCCAATTTCTCACGCCTGATTGAAAAATGTGAGTTTTTGCCGTCTTGCTTGACACAATTTCCAAAAATATGTTAACTCAGACTCATATAAGGAACGAAAACCATCTGTAAAATGAATAAATGACAATACCTTCCTCACGATCTCTGATTTTTGAAGTGAAAAGCACTGGGAGCGAGGTCGCATTTATACGCGTCCGGAAGACTTCGGACTTCTTCGGGAGACTTCAGACTTCTTCGGGAATCTTCGGATATGATCGTGTCGTCTTCAAAAATCCCAGCACTCCCAGGATAAAAATCTCATGCTTATATCTCAGAAAAAGTTGGCAGGTATAATATAGGATGTCACAATGAATTTTCCAAGACGACTATAACGAGGCAAATGTTTGAGGTACACTTTTGACATGCAATTTAAAGCGGTAGACCAGTCCCTCATACAACTTCAGGCCATTTACAATCAATAATCTAAAAATTCTTGAAAGTTTTTATTGGATTAAAGAAGCATTGCTCGTGTGTTTGACAAGATGCGAAGGTTTAGCTGCACCAACGTACCAAGGGACGCAGCGGGCAAATCCATCAGACTTGACGCACTAGCAGATCAATAAAAACAATGTACATATTGGTTATAAAATAACAACACATTCAAAAACAAATTAGCAAAACAGTATTTGACAAATTGCATAGTTTATTACCAGCTTTTGCATTCTCGTCACATCAACCCTGGCGACAAGACGTTCAGAGAGCGTCTCAAGAAAGGTCGAATTTTGGGCACTTTCAAGGCGCTCTACTGGCAACACACAGAGACGGCCCGCGGAACTTTTTATATCAAAAACTTCACCAGCATGAGGGGGTGTTTACATCATACCGGGGGGACTTTCACACGGGAGTGAGTTCACACCAGTTCCCTCTCATGGCTCTACATTTGTTTATATGATACCACCACAAAATGTCATGCCGGCGCGAGTCACCCCGGCGTGAGTTCACCCCGGTTGTTGTACCGGGGCGAGAATTTCACTCCGGTACGAAATCTCGCAACGGTATCATGTAAACTCGAAACTACCACACGTTTCGGTGTAAAATCGGTTAGCCGGTAGACTGGAACGGGTAGCGCATGCGTAATGTTTGCGATTTTGAATCTTACGTGTATTTTATCAACATGAAGTCTACCTTCAAATAACGAGATATGAAATGACCCAGTCATAATGTAAAAGCGATACGAAATAGAAAAGTCATCCCGCTATGATACTCGCGTCGGTGCGAGTTTTCTCATCTAAACACCCAAAAAGGCTTTCCAAAAGGTATTAAAAAATTGCTCAGTCTCAGTCTACTACTCGAGATATCCCTCGGGATATGCAGCATAGCCCATGACTATACGAGTATTAAGAAAAAGAGAGTTTTCTTTCAAATTGATTTTGATGAAATTGATAGATCACTTCTAACAACTGAATTAAGTTTCCTTGGGTTTTGGAAATTTTGTACGGATTTTTCAAATTTTGATTTTATTCCACTCTTTAAGCAAAAAATGCCCCCTTAAAGTAAACGCGTCTCAAAAGAAAAATATTGAGTTAACGATAAAACAAATTATGCCAATGAATCAGGCATATAATAGACTTTATGTAACTCCCAAAAGTTACAAAAATTGGTAGACGCTTACCTTGAATAGGGTTCTTCAATTCCGCCATCACGACCAAATTATTTTCTTCATCTTGAAATGCCGAACGTTTTTATCGGCCAATCGCGATCCAGGTCATTATGTAAGATGTCAAACCTCGTCATCAATTACAGTTAGATTTTTATTTAAAAGGCGCTTTGTTAGTCTGTTCCACTAAACTTTACTATCCAATTGACTTTCACTGTAGCATTTGCAATAACAATTTTAATTTCATTAAAAGTGAACGCTTTCACAGTTTTTAACGATATAAATAAAGCAGAAAAAGAGAAGAATGTGAGAAAAAAACCCTTTCTTTAGAAGTGCTTTGTCCTTCTTTAAACAGCGAAATCTCTCCTTATCATTTGTGTATTTATAAACCCGTCTAACAGAAACAAATTCTAACTTTCTAACTCAACCGATTTACCAAAAGCAAAAAAAAGAAATCATGCTTTAACTTAAAAGGCCAAACGTTACAAAACCGTAACGAAACTTAACAAAATCTAAAGACCAAAACGTTTATCAACTTTATGAGCCATCTTCAGCTACGTGCCTCATATGGTTTTCATAATGTTGAACAAGAAGAGATTCACTACTCATCTCCTCTTGACAAATCCAACAGCTGTGTTTCTCAAGGATAGGTGATTGCGGATCCTTCATACCACTGTTTCCAGTCTCTCTTTGTGACAGTGTGTTGTTAGTCAATCCTGACCTTGTACTACTTTCTTCTCTCTTACGCTTACAATGAACACGTGTAAACGTACCTTTGTCACTGTCACATTTATGCAACATTTTTTTAGTGTGGACTTTCTCGTGCCTCCTAAGACCGCTCGACTGACTAAAACACTTGCCACACTCTTTACATTCATAACGCTTTTCCCCATTGTGAACTCTTTCATGAAGGTTTAAAAGTTCTATTCGGCTAAAACACTTCCCACACAGTTTACATTCATAAGGCTTTTCCCTGGTGTGAACCATTTCATGTCTCCTTAGCACTCCTGCTCTGTCAAAAAACTTGCCACACTGTTTACATTCATAAGGCTTTTCCCCAGTGTGAACTCTTTCATGAATCCTTAGGTTTCTTGCTGCGCGAAACAACTTGCCACAAAGTTTACATTCATATGGCTTTTCCCCAGTGTGAACTCTTTCATGATTCCCCAGACTTCCTGTTTGGCTAAAACACTTGCCACACTGTTTACATTCATAAGGCTTTTCCCCAGTGTGAACTCTTTCATGACTCGTTAGATGTCCTGCTTGGCTAAAACACTTCCCACACACTTTACATTCATAAGGCTTTTCCCCAGTGTGAACTCTTTCATGAATCCTTAGGTTTCTTGCTTCGCGAAACAACTTGCCGCACTGCTTACATTCATAAGGCTTTTCCCCAGTGTGAACTCTTTCGTGACGCTTTAGGTTTCCTGCGTCACTAAAACACTTGCCACACTGGTTACATGCATGAGGCTTTTCCCCAGTGTGAACTCTTTCATGCTTCGTTAGGTGTCCTGCTTGGCTAAAACACTTGCCACACAGTTTACATTCATAAGGCTTTTCTCCGGTGTGAAGTCTTTCATGAATCTTTAAAAGTTCTTTTCGGCTAAAACATTTCCCACACAGTTTACATTCATAAGGCTTTTCCCCAGTGTGAACTCTTTCATGTCTCCTTAGGGCTCCTGCTCTGCCTAAAAACTTGCCACACTGTTTACATTTGTAAGGCTTCTCCCTCGTGTAAACTCTTTCATGATTCGTTAGGTTTCCTGCTTCAATAGAACACTTGCCACAATGTTTACATTCACAAGGCTTTTCCCCAGTGTGAACTCTTTTATGAGTCCTCAGGTCTCCTGATCGGCTAAAACGCTTTCCACACAGTTTACATTCATAAGGCTTTTCCCGAGTGTGAAGTCTCTCTTGACGCATTAGGTTTCCTGCTTGGCTAAAATACTTGTCACACTGTTTGCACTTCAAAGACATGGATTTGCCTCTTCCTTTACACCCTTTCAACATAAAAGAGAGACATTATGTTTTAATCTTTCTAAAACAACATAAGAGAGCTTGATTAAAGACGCACGGTCATGAGCTAACGAAAAGACCAAAAATATATTAATTTTGTATGTACAATCATCAAATGATGTAAACATTATTTTCAAAAGATATTCTTGTTTTGGTACACTGCAGTTAACCGTCTCATAGCGACCAGTTCTCGTAAGCTGAAACTTTAGAAATGACTGTTTTGTTTCTCAGTCAAACACTGTTTCAACAATTCTCTCGTAAGTCACCACTACATTTATCTAAATTTCTGAAAGGACGGCAACAACATTTTGGGCCAGATATTTGACAAATTCTTTTGGTAGCAACCACCTCGCACAATCATT